ACTGAGTTCAGGTTGATGCTGCCATGTACGTCATTCTGTAGTTGTTATGGCCACTGTCTCTTGACTATGCATTTAATCCATTTACATTCAGTATAATTATTGACAGATAAAAATTTACTGTTGTCATTTTGCTGAGTTTTTTGTGATGCCAGTGATTTCTTTATTATGCATATTTTTCACTGCACTGAGTTTTTTAATTTATGGATTTTCTCTTTTCCTTTGTTTTATTGATTATGTACTTGTTTACTGTATTTAAGGTCAGCGGTTCGAAACTACCAGCCGCTCCGCGGGAGAAAGATGAGGCTTTCTACTCCCGTAAAGATTTACACCCTCGGACCTTAAACCCTGTACAGGGTCGCTATGGGTCGGAATCGACTCGACGGCACTTAACAACAACAACAACAACTGTATTTAAATAATTTTATTTTAATGAGGAAAATTTGATAATTTCCTTTGTGGTTATCCTGGAATTTATCTTTACACCATTTATTTCTTCTTTTTTTTAACTTGTCTTCATTTGCAAGTTGAGCTCTGATTCCCTTTTTTCAATGTTATGTTGTCAGGTGCCATTAAGTCAGTACTGAGTCATAGCAACCCTATGCACAACAAAATAATACATAGTCCATCCTGTGCCATCCTCACAATTGTTGTTACACTTGAACCTGTTGCTGCTGCCACTGTGCCAGTCCATCTTGTTGGGGGGGTCTTCCTCTTTTCTCTGACTCTCCACTTTGATGTCCTTCCTGATAACATATTCAAAGTATGAAAGACGAAGTCTGGCCATCTGGCTTCTAAGGAGCATCCTAGCTGTACTTCTTCCAACATAGATTTATTTGTTCTTCCGGTCCATGGTACTTCCAGTATTCTGGAATTCAATACTTGAATTCTTCTATTCATTGTCCAACTTTCATATGCATTTGAGGTAATGAGACTTCCTAACAATTCTTTCACATGCATATGAGGCACCTTAGTCCTCAAATTGGTATCTTTGCTCTTGAACACTTTAAAGAGGTTTTGTGCAGCAGATTTGCCTAATGAATAAGTCATTTGAGTATTTTGACTTCTGCTTTTATGGGTGTTGATTGTGAATCTAAGCAAAACTTTGAAGTCTTTGACAACTTCAATCTTTTCTCCATTTATCATGCTAAAGGATTCCATTTAGTCTTTCTTACAATGTTTACTTGTTTGTTTCTTTGTTTATTCACAAATACCCTAAATGTCTGTTTATCTGAGAATATCCTAGTTTCACCATTGTAGTTGAGGGACACTTTAGCTGGATATATGATTCTTGACGACTTTTTTCTTTCAAGGTATTATAGTTTCTGCCATGAAATCAGAATTTGGTCTTACTAGTTTACTTCTGTTGTTGTTGTGTTGTTGCTAGTGCCGTCAAGTCGATTGCAACCCACAGCGACCCTGTATAGTGCTTACAAGGAGCAGCTGGTGAACTTGAACCACCGAACTTGCAGTTCAAACGACTTGGCAGTCTGACACATGCTAGCCCACAATGACACACCAGGACTGGACTCACTTCTGTAGGTAGCAATTTATTCCAAGCTGTTCAAGCATCAGAATTCTTGCTTTGTCTTTGGTCTTGGAAAGTTTGAGAATAGTAAGTTTCAGTGATTTTCTTTTGGAATCTATCTTATTTGGGGTTTGTTGAGCTTCTTGGATTGATGTCTTTTCATGATATTTGTGAAGTTTTCTGCCAGTAAATCTTTCAGAATTTTCTGTGTGTTTTGTTTTTAGTTGTTTTTGTCTCTTATTGTTATTGGGTTCCCATCATACATAAATTACTCCTCTTTATGCTGTCCCACATAACTATTTGTTGTTAAGTGCCATCATGTCAGTTTTGACTTATACCAACCCTGTATAGGGTTTCCAAGGAGCTGCTTGGTGGGTTTGAACCGCTGACCTTGTCATAACTTTTGTTGTTTTTAAGTGCCAGCAAGTAGATTCTGACTCATAGCTACCCTATATAGGGTTTCTAAGAAGTAGCTGGTAGGTTTGGAAGGCTAACCTTGTTGTTAGCAGTCCAGTGCTGATCCTACAGTGCCACATAACTGTTGTTGTTTTGTGCCATTGAGTCAATTCTGATTCATAGCAACCCTGTATAGAGTTTCTGAGGAATAGCTGGCGAATTTGAACTATCAGCCTTGTGGTTTGAAGTCCAGTGCTGATCCTATAGCACCACAGCAGAAGTCCACATGACTGTTGGCCTTTTTTACTCTTTTTTTCTGATAGTTCCATAACAAGATTGGTATCAAGGGATTTGTCCTCTATTTCACTGATTCTACCTTCCATTGATTATGTACTCTTTTGTCCTTCCTATGTATTATCTATTTCTAAAATTTTAGTGGTAATCGTCTGGATTTCTAATTGCTGTTTTAGTGTGGTTTCAGTTGACCATTTTGTTGTGTTTTCTTGAATTATTCTAGAGTTTTGCATGTTTTCCTTGATCTCTTATATATGAGGTACATCAAAAAAAATGCATGGGAAAACTCCATTATTCTCTAGTTCCATTTTCCTGTGCACTTTTTGAAGACACTTTTGTAAGTCTTTTAAATTTCTTATCAGGTAGTTACATTATCCTTTTTTCCTTAGAGAGGTTTCTTGGTTCTTTATTTTGGTCACTTGTGGCATCATCTTCTCCTGTTTCTTTAGATGATTTCATATTGTCTGTTGGTGCTGAGACATTTTATTTACTTTGCGTTTGCTGTTTCCTGATTTTTAGTTACGTTTTTCTCTGATGTATCTTTGTAAGTGGCATGGGCAGTCTACTCCTCAATTGCACTGGGGCCCTCCTGGAGGGTGAGGTAGTGGCTGGGTGTGTGAGCATTGGTGTCTGTTCCACTGGTTTGCTGAGGGATGAGGGTGGGTTGGCTGCTGGCTACTGCCTGTCATTGGCCCAGTGGGTGGGGCAGCAGGTATGGCCTGTGTGGCTACAACCAGCAATCAGGGCCTCACTTCCCTACAGTTAGTTGTACAAGGTTATTCTGTGTCCTGTTGGAGATTCTGTGAAGTTGCCTTCAGCGTTCTTCACTCCAGAATGCTGCTGTCTCTGTCTCAAGATGGCCATGCTGTGCCAGGCCAAGTCAGCACTCCATGCCACCTCTTCTTGTCTGCTCATTCAATCCATTTCTAGTTCTTTATCCTTTCTCTGATGCTCAAGGTTTCAGGATTGTCCTCTGTGTTTGTTTCTCTTAGATTCTCTTGTTTTTGCTTTAGGAGAACAGTGTGGTATTTCTGACTTACGTCACCATTTTGGCTGGAAGTCCTACTGTGTGTTCTTGAGACAGCCACTTAGCTTCTCTGGGTCTCTGTGTTCTCACCTGTAAAGTGAAGTGTTTGGATGAGGATATTGTGGTCTTATAACTCTGGCACTGATTCTCTGTGACTGTTTAGTCACTTGGATGAGAACCTGGAAACCAGTTGTTGGCAGTTTCCCTGCCCTGGAGAAACACACATCCAGATCTCTGGCCTGCCTTGCCCATCACCCTACTCTTTTGGCTGGCCTACTTGGTCTGCCTCTCTCTATCTCCTACCTGCCTAAAGACCTGACCCCAAATCACATATGAGAAAATTCACTGCTGCCTAGAAGGACTCAGTGTTCCCTTTTCTCCCTCCAGGTGAGCTCCGACCCCTCCATGTACATTGAGGTGGAGAATGAAGTGACTGCTGTAGGGGGTGTGAAGCTGAGCCGCTTGAAGTGTAACCGGGAAGGGAAAGAATGGGAGACGGTGCTCACCAGCCGGATCCTCACTGCTGCTGGCAGCTGGTAAGGGCCCAGGAGCCTGAGCCCAGCACAGCCTTCTCACACTGTGCCTGGCTCCTACAGAGCTCACACTGATTGAGCCCCAGGTCGAGCTTGTGCATTTGTCACCTCATTCCCAACCCAGTGGGCATTTTTATCCCTGGAAACAAAGGCATAGAGGGTCACTCAAGCCAGGATTTGAAACCAAGTCATTTGAATTTTGTATCTGGTTCAGCTTCTTAAAATCTTGGGTTCCAATTATTCAGGGAGGTTGAACAGGTTCCCAGCTGTCCGCCAGACCTCCAGTCCTGTCTCTCCCTAACTCTGAACTTTGAGGGGTGGCCTTACTTCAGAGTTCATAGCCTTGTGTTTCCCTGTGCGCCTTGGGGCTGCATGAGGCTCTGCCTTGCTCCTATTCCTGTCTGGAGAGATGATCCCAAGCTTGTCTGGCCCTAGTTCACCACGTGTTAGATATGCTGTAAAAACTGGCACCAACCATCCTTTCTGTAGCACTCTCTTCTCAACTGAGTTCAATACTTCATTGCAATAGCCACATAGAACTCAGGCACCATGTGCACAGTTATGGGGTTTATTACAGAAATTAACAGGTTACAATGCAGGATCAGAAAATGCTCCAGGCATCGTTTTTCCAGTCAGGACAGTCTCCTCAGCCATTCCTCCAGGTGAACCTCTGTGGTCCTTGGCCTCTCAGCCACAGGCCCGTTGACATCTGTCCTGTTCCAGCAATGTTACAGAGCTTTTTGAGTGCTGTTGATAAATTCTCAAAGGGCACTCTACTCTACTATAAGCCTCAGCCCAAAGGCACTCATCTCTAATTTCTCAGTTAAATGCCTGGAGACACCCCACTCTCCTACCCCAGAAATAATCAGCTTTACTTGCTCCATGGACTGAGAAGCCCACCATTCTTATCTTGTGCTCTGGTTCTTGACTCTGCTGCTGTTACTCCTCTGCTCTTCCCCTTTTCTCACTGCTCTCTGATCTTGGGCTGAGGAGGTTCAGTGCACAGGGATTTCGGGGTCCCAAGGACACACTCCAGAGCTCTTCTTTGATAGTAGCAAGATTCCCCCCTCAGTTTCTGAGATGGCTCATTTTTTATCCAACAGGATGGCAAAATTTACTAATTTTACAATTATCCCTGCTAACAATCCCTGACAACCTAATCATATAACCCATCAGAATCTTCCCTACTTCCTCTTATCAAGACCTATCAGAAAAGTTATTTGGGAGTTTACAAAGACTATGACTAGAAGAGATATTAAATAATTCACTGTATCACACTTTTACACATTTATTTTCATTAGTCCCTTTATCCTTTACCTTGGGTTTAAAAGTAAGATGCTTTATTTTAATTTTTTTTGTTTGTCTTCTCGAGCTGACCTTTGAAATTTTTGTTCAGCTCTTTTATCTCTTCATTTTTTCCATTCACTTTAGCATCTCTACACTGGAGCGCAAGTTTCAGTGTCTCTTTTGGCATTCATTTTGATGTTTTTCTTCTTGTCTTCTTAATGACTTTTTGCTTTCTAAATGTAAGATACTTTTGCAAGTTCTGAAAACTTGGCCTTACCTGTGAGGTGAGAGTTCCCGTGGGCCCTAGGTGCCCCCATCCTTCCCCTGTTATGTGCAGAGAGGCCTGTATGTTGGGTATTGCCATGGGTCCCCCTCTGTCCCTGGACCCAGGGCAGACAGTGTGTTTATAGCTGGGTGTGAGGTACAGCCACATGGCCTCCCATACAGCAGTTGGAAGGGGCAGACAGTCTGGTGACCTGGAAGCCTCTTCCTACACAGCCAGCAGGCCTGCTCCCTAACACTGCAGCCCCAGAGTGGTGACTTTCACTGCCACAGGCTGGCTTGAGGAAGGCTCTAACCCCTAGAGATGAGTTATATTGCTCAAGTGTCTTCTGTTGCCAGCTGCTGCTCAGTGATCTCTTATCCTCTCAACAAAGACGTCTAAACAGCAGCCTGACCCCCACAGCATCTCTGGGAGCCTAGGGTGGGGGAGGGTCCATCACCTGGACCCTGGTCCTAGTTGAGCAAAATGGAAGTGGTATAAAGAGGGCTCTGGCTGGTCTGCTAGGACCAGGATTTGCTGAACTGTGCTGGGCTGCTCACCTGCTCTAGCTGCCTGAGGTCTGAGGCTCCATCCTCCACTAGACCTGTGGCTTTAACTGCTGATACCAGACCAAGAGGCCTGCAGTTGTTCAGAGAGAGACATTTGACAGTGTCCCAACAGACTGGTGAAACGCTTCTTCCTCGGGGAGCAGCATAACCCTTCCAACCAAGACGGTAATGGTCTTCTGAGTACTCAGCTGGTACCTCCTGTGGAGTTGTTGTAGTCTTCAAGAGTTGTAGGCAGGAGACAGTTGTATGGGTGCTCTGTGTGACTCCTCTGGTGAGCAAGGCACACACACCTTGGTCAGTTCTTATGTGTCCTAGCAAGTCTGAGCAGTACGGGTGGGCAGGAGAGGACATTTCCAGGATGCTTCCAGGGCCTCAGTGACACCTGTCTTTCCTCTGACCTTCCAGCGATGTCGTGTGTGTGGCCTGTGAGAAGAGGACCCTGTCGGTGTTCTCCGCCTGTGGCCGCCGGCTCCTCCCCCCTATCCTCCTGCCATCCCCAATCTCCACTCTGCACTGCACAGGCACCTACGTCATGGCGCTCACGGCTGCGGCCACACTCTCTGTCTGGTGAGGCCAGCAAGAGTTGGGGTGGAGCAGGCAGGCTGCAGGGAGCCTAGCTTAATGCCCAGGGAAGGACACTGGTGCTAGGGGAGGGCTGCTAGCAGAACTGCGGCGGCCTCTTGCTGCAAAAGAGACAGGAGCCACCTGTGTCAGCTCACAGTGTCTAAGTGAGGATGCCAGATTATAGATGGGCTTCCACAGAAGCAGGTTTCTGCTGGAAAAGTGTGGTCCCAATTCTAGCCTGGCCCTTTCCAGAGTGTGATGATAGTGGCAAAGCCAGTGGACCTTGGGACTCTGTGGCCTGGGTCCTTTGCTGTAGATATTTACCAGACCAAAACCCACAGCTCCAGAAACCCCAGAGGACAGAGTAGAACTGAGCCTTAGGGTTTCTAAGGCTGTCGTCTGAATGGTAGCAGACTGCCTCATCTTTGTCCCAAGGAGTAGTAGTTCCAGTCAGTAACCCACTGCACCCTTGAATTGAGCAGAAGCCACCACAGAACTGTGGGTGACCGTGGGGTTAGCAACCTCAGTGCACTCCGAGTGTAAGGGCTTCCTGTCTTCTTCAGGGACGTTCACAAACAGGTGCTGGTGGTGAAAGAAGAGTCTCTCCACTCCATCTTGGCAGGTAACCGGGCCCTGAGCTGCACTGAGACGTGGGTGGGCCCACACTCTCAGTCAGGCAGTGGGACCTTTCATCCTGGGGAGGATGCACACCCAGGCCCTGCAGCTCACCTCCCTAAATTCACAGTCAGCGTTAAGGAGCCTGGGATTGGGGCCGAGGGAGCCATGGTCCCTGTGCCAGTGCTAGGGCTGCTCTGAGCACACTCGGAACCCACTTCTGTGCTGTCCCCCAGGAAGTGACATGACGGTGTCACAAATCTTGCTGACACAGCATGGAATCCCAGTGATGAACCTGTCCGATGGGAAGGCCTACTGCTTTAATCCATCTCTCTCGACGTGGTAAGCAAGCTGCCCTCCCCGAGCCCTTCCCCCAGTATCCCAGCCTCTAACCTGGCAGTGCCCTTGAGAGAGACCCAGGTCCTGGTGGTGGATCTTTACTTGGTCCTGTTTTCTTGTCTCCTGAGCATTGGGTCCCTGCTTGGCTCTGTCTGCAGGAGACAATAAAGCTCAAAACTGCCAGGACACAATGCCACCTATCCACATGAGGCTGTAGCCCATGGCCTCTGGGCCCTCAGAGCATCTGTACAAAGGGCACTTGTGTCCTGGGGCCACTTGTTTTGGAATAGACATGTAAGCAGTTTTAGGGTTTTTGTTGTAGAATTTCAGACTGACTGCCACAGCTGTCATTGGTAGAGGGAAGTCGAAGTCACACTAATTAATATTTGTCAGCTTAATAGGTGAAAAGCAGCACTTCCTGCTCACCTGTCAGTTAAGAAGTAGGAATCTAATGCTGCCTTGTAGAGAAGGAACCTTTGTGCAGCTTGTCTCTTTTCTTTATCTGTGAAATCTCTTTAGACATCAAAGATCTTAACCAGATGTGTCAAGTACACTGGCTCCAAGAAATTCTTTTGCTTTTGGCCTCTGTCTTTGGGCCTTCCAGCCCCTTTTCTGTGAAGTGTTGCCAAGCATACAACTCTATGCTCACACGGAACTTTCTTTTCCTGAGCTAAAATAAAACAGTCTCCACCAACTGCTTTCTAGCACTCTTTCCCCCAAGTTGCACACCATATGTATTGCCGTATTTTTCTGCATATGACATGTCCTTGAAAATAACTTGCATACACATAGAATCCATGCAGCACACACAGAAAAATAAATTCACGGGAGTTGCACAGTTTACAAAAAACCATATTGAGGGGCTTCAAAAAGTTCTTGGACAAATGGAATGAAAAGGTAATGGAATTTTTCCACAAGCATTTTGAAGCTCCCTCATATAACATGAGCATTGCTTGTACAGTAATACACTATATGTGTTTACTATAATACAAGACTCATGGTGTGACACTGTGGGACCACAAGGTCAACAGTTCAAAGCCACTAGCTGCTCCTCAGAAACCCTACACAGGGTTGCTAATACAAGAAAGATTAAGAAGAGTGTAGAATCTTTATTGACCCCTTTGTATTTGAAGAGCATTCACTAAGGCACCCAATTTTTTAAAAGGATGTAAACACCTTTTCCTAACCAATCCGTGAAGGTCCTGGGAGGGTGTGGGAACTCACTACCTGGTGCCATTGTAGAGCCTGGTGTTCCTTGGTGTCAGGCAGGAGTCTGGGGGATGTGGCCCTGCTGAGGTGACTCCTTCACACACACAGAGGCTCCTCAGTTTTCAGGAATGGAGATAGTGGAGCCCTGTCCTCAGCCCTCATTGTTAGGTTGTTTTTCCTTTGAGACAATAACTTTCTGCGCACCCCTCCCTGCGTGGCTTTGATAGCTATCTGCCACACAGTGGCACTCAGACTGAGCTGGCTTGCTGGTGCTTGCCAACCTCCTCCATCTGGCCTCCTGATTTTCCTAAGTTCTGCTCCTGTCTCTACCCTCGCAGGAACCTGATCTCTGACAAGCAGGACTCCTTGGCCCAGTGTGCAGACTTCAGGAGCAGCCTACCCTCCCAGGACGCCATGTTGTGCTCAGGGCCATTAGCCATCATCCAGGGACGCACCTCCAAGTACGTGACCTGAGGAGATACCCAGCTTATTGCAGGCACAGCCCTGCCCAGCCTGGCCTCAATCCCACCCCCTGTGCCCACAGGCAGACTGGGCTGGCAGGTCAGGGGTGTCAAGAGTGCTGAGATGCAGGCCCTGTCCCAGTAGCCTAGGTGGCCCTAGAGTGCTCTAGATGATGGACATCCATGTTAGGCAGTAGTCAGGAGCCTCGTCAGGGCTTGGGTCAAAGGGACCCATGGCAGTTGGTGTTGTAGAGAGACTTGAGCTTCATCTGGTCTGGAGCAGTTGGGGTAGGAGCTTCCTGGGATGCCAAAGTGTCCAGCAAGCTCAGGGAGTCATTGGTACCTGCCAGCTCCTAGCTGGCACCCTGGGGCACATGGTTTCTGTGCCCGTTGCCCACCTTGTGTGCTCTGCTGGTCTCGGCAGTTCAGGAAGGCAGGCTGCCCGGCTATTCTCCATGCCTCATGTGGTGCAGCAGGAAACCACCTTGGCCTACCTGGAGAACCAAGTTGCAGCAGCACTCAGCTTGCAGTCCAGCCATGAATATCGCCATTGGCTCCTCATCTATGCACGGTACCTCGTGAACGAAGGTGAGCTACCCCTCAGGCTTGTGAATCAGGGAAGAGGTGCCATAGAGTGGGACCCCTACAACCCCTGGCTGCCTGCTCCCCTCTCAGATGGTGGACCTCCCCACCCCCACTCCCCTTGGGAAGCTCCTTCTCCTGTTCCTTTCTGCTTGGCTTCATCCTGGGTATTGGTCAGTACTCCCCATGATGCCCTCTAGGTCCCACCATCCATCTGTGGGATCACATCTCCTGCTTTTTCCACTTTACACCCCAGTCACTTCTCCCTGCGTCCCTGGTGTCTCAGCTATAAAATGAGGAGTTGGTATTAAGGAAGACCTTATCCATGTCTGAAATGCCTAGGAGTCCAGCTTCCTCACTCTGTTTCTCCACCCTTATCTTTGAGTGATTTCATCCATTCCCTGTGACTTAGCTGCTCCCAAGGGTGACAGACCTTTCAGATTGAGGCCCCATCTGGCTGTGTCTCTTACCTCTGAGTTGACAGGCCCATGCCTACTGCTTCCCTCTGCTCAGTGCCCACCTCTGTCTGAGGTCTTGTCCTCTCCATTTCGTACCTCCTGACCCTTCTGGATCACCTCTTCACACCAGTTGTTAGCCTGCTCCCTCCCCTTGTCTTCCCATCACCTTGCAGAATTTATCACAGAATGGTCACCCTCTTGTTTTTTTCTGTGAGTCCAGCATGTCAAGGGGTCGCCAGCTGACAGCACAGCCAGTGCTTGTCCAAGGAGGGGTGAGTGAGGGAGAGTCTGGTGCCCCAGGTTGAGAGACACTCAAGAAGTGGTTTACCCATGTTGCTGTTGTTACATTCCGTCAAGTCGATTCTGACTCATAGCAACCCTATGTAGGGTTTCTGAGGAGCAGCTGGTGAGCTTGAACCGCCATACCAAATGCACAGCGAACGTAGTTTTGAAATTATTTTCATTTCTTTTTCATAACATGTTCCTCTTTTCTGTTGTGTTTTTTTTTTCTGCAATTAGGCTTTGAATTCCGACTCCGAGAACTATGCAAGGATTTACTGGGCCCAGTTCACGGCTCCACTGGGAGCCAGTGGGAGTCAACAGTAGTGGTAGGTGCTCTTACGGGACACATGGAGGTGGAGGTGGAAGTGGATGCGATAAACCAAAATGCAGTGACATTCTTCCCCAGCAGATGGTACTGCCCCCACCCCATCCCAGCCTGAGAGGTGCTGGGCCCTCAGCATCCAGACCTTGGGAGTGTTCAGTTGGTGCACTGAGAAATGCCTGCACATACAAGGAGCTGGGATTTAGTAGTGATGATGAATGAACCCCTACCCCCCATCCCATCCACTTTGTGGAGCTGACAGTCTGGTACAGGCAAACATGAACAAACAAACAAATTAGGTCAACCTGGTACTTGTCAACTCTGTATGTATTGTGCTAAGAAGCAAATAAGCAGGATAAGAAAACAAGGGAAAGAGCCGTGGGGAAGGGCTGTGGAAAGGGCAGTTTAATGAGGAGCCAACAGCTCTGCAGAGACCTGGGGGTAGAACTTGTTAGCAGGAACAGCTTGTTGGGGAGCCATGGTTATAATGGTTGAGGCCACTCTGGCTGTAACAACCAAAGGAGAGGGTGGGGTGAGATTGAGGCCAGAGAGGTGGGCAGAGCCAGATCACGGTGTCCAGGTGAGGTGCAGGGGCCAATCTGAAATGGGAAAACAGGGCAACCTTGGCGACAGTCCCAGCAATAGGCGAAGGTGTCTTGGATCCGAGTGCTGGCCATGGAGAGGAGACAGGTGGATTCAAGAGGTTTTCAGGAGCCAGAACCAAGGAGATATGGGGATGGCAAGGTACTCAGAGTGTTTTGATTTGCTCATCTGTCTAGAGTGCCTCTGAATGGGGGAAGGAGCAGCCTGGCAGAGGAGGGATAAGAAAGCAGTAGGTCCAAGAGTTAATGCCACTGCTTCCCTTGCTCACACACTGACAGGCTCTGTATCACAGAGCAGGCCTCAGTGAGCGTGACGGAACAAACCAGTGGAGTGTGCCGGGTGGGATGGAGGCTATCTGAGTTGGGGACTGTGTGAGGGGGCCAAGAGATGGGAAGAGAAGAGGAAGGAGTCATGCAGGTATTGGCGGAAGAACATCCATCCAGACAAATGCAAAGGTCTTGAAAGCGTAGCAGGACAAGCCGAATGGAGCCAAGATCAGAAAGCTTCAGGCCTCATGGGACCTTGGTGACTTTACTGGATATGAGGGGCCTTCAAACAGCTAGTAAATTGCATTCTCTCTCAATTCCATTTTCGCATGAACTTAATGAAACCCCTTTGTTGTGTTCTCCTTTTTTAAAAATTATTCCTTTTTCAGTTTTTGTCGTAGTACACAAGGGGACTTGAAAACATTCATGGAAAACCTAATTATCTTTTTCGGGGTGGCAGTAATTCATTTTTTCTTTATTGAAAAGCGTACTATCAACATTTTTATGCAATAGACTAGAAGTAGTCTGTGCTCATTATGTGTCTCTTAACTGGTCTTTTTTTTTTTTTTTTTTATTTAAGGTTTTT